ACTACTCAATTTGTACTGGATAACTAAAAGTAATTAAACAGTTTTTAGGTTTTTAAAGCATTACTATTTTGAGACAAAATATTATAAAACAAGATCGTAAAAAAAATTCTATCCAATTTAGTTCCTCAGGTTAGGTTAGGTTATGTTATGTTATGTTAGGTTAGGTTAGGTTAGGATGACATGTAAAAAAGGATTTTGGCATTCCTTTTTTCGGCAACTCGCCCCTATCCTTGGGATACGCAACCAAGGATCAACGTTTGTGGCCCTTTGAGGGCTTGGCGCAATTAAGGAACTCTTTGACGCAATTAATGCACGACCATAAACCACTGTTAGTTTTTCAAAACATTTCTATTCTGAGACAAAATATTTTCTCAAACAAGATCGAGACATAAATTTCCCCACAGTTTACATCCTCGTGAAGCAGTTTCCTTCTCTACTCTGACAACCCCGAGCGCCGGACTTGCTCCAGGCTCTACATTAATGAACTTTCACTTGTCCTAGCCTCATCTACATCAGATATCGGAGGTACCTGCTCTCGCATACATTACCTCGCTCGTGTGTTGCGAGGCGATTTGTAACGATACATTTATGACTGGAGAGAGTCGTGAGATAGCAGTCCGAGAAACCATCTTTGGTCACGTTTTATTCAATAATTATCCAACTAGCGTTTTAATTTTTTGCGTTGTACTTATGCAACGAGTGGTTATTTGTTTAATGTATGGCTGTAGTTAAGTTTTAGGAATGTAGAACTGATGTTTGTGAAGCTAGTGTTGAAAATGTAGAAAACCATTTAGATTAATAATGTCGTAGCCTGGGAAATCGGAGAATATCTTGAGCTGAATTCCTTCGTGGAAAGTCAAAATTTGTCTCTTAGGCAGTACGAAATGTGCCAATAAAATATTTCTCTAAACATACATTTTATAGTTTTAAAATAGTTTTTAAAATAATTTTAAACTAACTTATACTGATTAAGATTTAACAACGAGGTGGCAAAAGTTTATTCTCCCCTAGGAATGAAGTAAAATACACGCACAAGATCAATTATTTGTATATACATCTTATTTAGCATATTTACTTAAGGGGATTTTAGTAATGTTTGGGTTGTAAAGGTAGATTAGTATCGTATTGTAGAATTTTAGAAGAATTTTTACTGTATTGTAGTATCGTATTGTAGTATTGTAGAAGAATTTTTACTGTATGAAATCTGACCCAGTTGTTAACTACAATGTCAATTGTCTTTACATACATTGCGAATATCAAATGTTGAAGGTCCATATTTAATTCTTTATATTAAGGTTAGAACTGGCAAATCTCAATTTTAAAGGTGAACACACAAATATTTAAATCACCTCGTTCTCCTAGATAAATATAATTTGTATAATTTTACTCCCTATCTGCATACGATAGTGCATATTTCAAACAAAATCTTTTTGACTTCGGATCTGAAAAATCGAACAATTGTACGTAAAAGGTAGTACTTAAAAATGTGAGTAACTCGTAAATAGTTGATAGAAACTCTGGAATGAGATTTTCAATAAATAAAAATTTTTCCTATGTAATTTTCGTCCAATTAAAACAAGTACAATCAGTTATGGTTCTAAATAAGGTGTTACAAATTGGATTTGAGAACGTAAGTACAATGCTGCGGTCAAGTCTTGGTACAAACTACCACAATACACTTCCTCAGTGATACTAATACTGTCACAATACAACTTAGCAGCTTTGTAATTACAGTAGGTATTTCCATTATGTAGGCTACTAATTATGCTGTAAATCTTGTCCTCCCTGAGTTAGGCTACATCTTAGAATCCTTTGTTCTATGATTTCTTTGTTTTTAGGTCCTAGAATAGTAGTAATTCCAGTTAAAAAACATTTCACATAAGAGAGCCACATTTTATATTAATTTTTGTTATTCAGTTAAACAAACTTACAAATATATTTTTTTGTAATAAATATGTCAATTATACAATTATATTTACTAACTTTTTATACGAAACAGTCACTTTTGCGTTTAATAATTTTACCTAATTGCTAGTTATTTTTATTCAAATTAAGCGTGTTGTTTAATCGCAATTACGTAACGTTGTCTTCCAGTCATAGGTTGATAGGTCTAGGGTATAAAACCGTTACACAACAAAGCTTAAACCATTTCTTTGTAAAAATCAAACTATCCATTAAAATAAAATTAACTTAAAACCTGTATTTATCAATTAAAATAATTATTTTACGTCCATTCACATTTCTTAGGATACTCGTAAGATATACAAGTAGTTAGGTTTGTTTTTTAACTTTATAACTATATTCACACAACTGCAGTTAGTAATATATCTTGTAAATAGGCCTAAGTAGTTATTTTATTCACCTCTAAAATGACCGAAAGTAACTTTCTGTACATAATTTAATCAGAACCAATCAATTATATCCGTGGTTTAATAGTAATTCAATTTTAACCACTAACTTTCAAAATCCTGTTTAACTTTTTAATTGGCAATCAGGCCTTGGGAGACTCAAATTAAAAGCTAATTGTTAATATTAAACTTGCAATGTTAATGAGTTACTTTACTTTATTTCGGGATAAAGCTTCAAACAAACCAGTGCATTCTACATTTTACAGGTTATATAATTCTCTAAGAAAGTATAAATACCCCCGCCGCAGCAAACCTGCCGACTAAGCGAATTTCCATTCCTCTGAATTAAATCTATTTAAAAACAATAGGTTTAACGAGTACCTAGGTTTGCTGCTTCAAGGAAACTATTAATGTGCGTTTATGGTAAAATAGTAATAGCTCACAAAATATATCCATAAACAAGCTAACTACAACATTCTACAATATTCTCCATAAGAATAACATGAGAATTTTAAATTTAAAATTTTTAAAATTTCCTCCGTTTACAATAACCGTAAAAAGCTCTTTGATATACAAAATTATTTGTTTTTGTAAGCCCTTTAAAAAGACCTCGAGATGAATAGGCACATTTTGTGTTTTGAGGGTCAATAATAAAAAACACAAATTTTTACCCCATAAAACCCCGTTCTCGTGGTCCGATCATGCTGGTCCGCGAACTCATTCAAGTTTGTCCCGCCTTTTGTACATATACGGTTTATAAACATTTGAAGGAATGGTGTTTTTGGCCTCTAGGGACATCAAAATGAAAAAAGTATATCGGTACTGGGCCTATAGAGAATTCGCTAAAAGTATAAATATAGGCTAATACTGAATACATGACCATTTAAAAGAAAGTTTGTATAATATTTTGGTTTTGTTTACCATAATTTGATTAGTGTACTCACCAGTTTAATATATACATAACGTAATGAATCATCATGGTTATAGTAGATGATTACAATATAGTATTTTTTTTATCCACGCCGTTTGCATTTTAGGTGGTTTTCAAATGGTTAAATCTCTGGTCTTATTACTACCTGACTTCCAATTATACCAATGAACAAGACAATAAATAAATGAACAAGTTTGCCAATAAAATACAAAACAGTGAGAAAACCTTTTACCTCGTAAACCTTTGTTTTACTTAATATCTTCATTTGCAATTGTTGTCACATTCAGCTGATTGAATCTCATGCTTAAGGTAATTCGTAAATAACGAATAAATGAATGAATAATATCTTTGGCTAAGTTTAGCTTTTTATTTGCCCAGCATCATTAATCTGGGGATTAACGATACCAAATGTCGATTTCAGAACCTAAGCTTCTTATTGGTAGAATTAGTTGACTAAGCCTACATATACACACTGAATACATTGACCAGTGCTGGAACCATCTGTTTTGTTTAAGTTTATGCAATACGATATTAATGGTTTTTTTCAGTTTTCTTAATTTTAATGTTTAAGAACTCTGGACATTGGGGAAACATTAATATTCCATGTATAGCAAATCTTATTAGATCACGCATAATATTTGTTTTTTTTTCCATCACAAACAAAATAATCAATTTTTCCATTTATTTATTCGCAATGGTGAAATGAACTTGCATGCAATTTTGCGGTTTCCTCGTATACACAATATTTAGAATACTTTAATTCAATGAATCAACAGCGAAATGAATCTTCAAACAGTTCAAACGATTTGTTGAGATTTTTTAAACCTTGGTTTCAGCCTTTGGGATAAGATCTTATCCCAATAATATACCAATAAGATACCGTTAATAATATATAAATTATATCAATTATTTATGATTGGGACGCCACTATGTGCGTATTTCAACCCAAATATGAGTGAAGGATGAGTGTAGGATGAGTGGTACGATCTTGTAGTCTTCTTTGTGACTAAGACGGAACATGTGTCTTAACAACATACAGCCGATGGCGATTAAGAGTTTATAGTGGATTCCGAAGCACATTTTTTCCTTGTAAATTTTGGAATTGGTCTTATTATCAGGATAGTACTGCGGATAGTCGTAGTACTCACTAGTGCGGACGTCAATCCACACCATGGAGCATCTTATCCTTAGAGCATGCCTATAAATATCCACAATTCATGACCTAGTAGTTGGATTACAGGATGACGCCACCGTCCTAGTCTATATCCTGATATTTTATTATATAGGCTATATATATATTATATATAGATATATATTATACTGTATATAGATATATATTATATATATATATATCTATATATATATATCTAGATCTATTATATCTAGATATAGATATAATAGATCTATTATAGATCTATTATTATTAGATCTATTATATCTATATCTATATATCAATATATAGATATATATTGTCCTTGGCCTTATCCTGATATAATTCTTACTCATTTCGTGTATTTATTTGATAAGCCCTACTTCCTGCTTTAAACTGTAATGTTTAAATAATTTAAACCGCGTCCAAGAATCCCGCATATACACCGTAACTATAAAATCGTCATAAAATTAATATTAATTTATATTATGATCTATAAATTATTATTATGACTTATAAATGATGAGTATAATGTGTGTGACTGTTCCTAATATCCGTCATTTTGTTTCAGGCTCACCCCAACTACCTGTTTAACTACGGGGTCCACGACATCAAGACCGGGGACATCAAGAGCCAATGGGAGACCCGTGACGGTGCCACGGTCCGTGGCCAATACAGCCTTGTGGAGGCCGACGGTTCAGTCCGCACCGTAGAATACACAGCTGACGACCACAACGGGTTCAACGCAGTAGTCTCTAAGTCCGGAGTCAACGCACATCCAAAACCGGTTTACCAAAAACCGGTTGTAACCATAGCAAAACCGGTTCTCCCGGCGGCACCGCCCAGACCGGTTTACACCCCCACGTTCGTTCACAAACCGGTTTCCTACCCTTACCCAGAGTTCTCTCCAGACTTTCAGTACAAACCTCTGACTCCGTCGTTTGAAAAACCACTAACCCCTTCTATTAATCATTTCACTCCGTCTTTTCCGGATTACTTTGGAGGGTTCGAGTCCTACCCGTTTCTGTACTCTAATAACTTTTTCCCAAATGTAGATGGGTTCAAGTTTGAACTGCCCACGCCGACGCAGCAGTCCCCATCGGTGAACAACCCAGGACCTGTTTTGTTCCCACAAAATCCTGACATTGACCTGAACAACCCACCTCCTGATCAGACTTCTGGTGTGAAAATACCAAAACCAATCATTACTGTAAACCGGACCCCAAAAGCTTTCCGCACTCCTGTAAACACCCAGAAACGACCTTCGACTCACCTTTCTCTATCTTCCAGTTTAGGCTACTCCTACCCCAAACCCGCTGTTCGATTATATCAATAGTTCAAGGCTCCTAGATCTTCCAAAGCACGTGTATTGAAGTTCGCCATAAACATTGGATAGGATGGTTGTCTTAGATTAGTCGCCCTATAGACTACTGTGATGTTTTCCACTGACAAATATTGCATTATGTTTAGATCTACATTATAATGGAAGTTAGTAGTGAGATGTTAGTACTATACTAGAGGCACATCAGTAATTTAACAGAATACAATACAAAATATTTAATAGCTATCTCAATCCAAACAATTCCTGTAATTATTTTTGAAGGTCAAAGATCGAAGAGCAAAATAATTTATCGCTAAGACCTTGAGTTGGATCTGATTCATGGCGTGATCGTGGTTGAATTACGATACTGTCTTGTATTTCTTTCGCAAACTTCACAAAACTGACAGTGAGACTTTGGTCGTGATTTACAATCGATTGCAAAATCCGATTCGGCGAATCGATCGACTTATCGCAGTCGAAATAATTGTTTAAATTGTGTTTTACAACCAAAACTCGCAAGGCATTTACGAAATCAAGGTATAGAAAATTATGTATATAACTCAGGTGTTTTAATGATACACTTAAGTGTTTTTTCAATAGTTTGTTTGTATATTTAACATTTTCTAGAAATAACAAATATATTTGCAGCTAAGACGCTACCAGAAAGAATAGTTTATACAAAAATCTAAAAGCACACAACGTGATATGGAATATTCTCACATGTTTACATTTCAAAACAAACACGCAAAAAGCTTTTGACATCAGTGCCGTAGTCCCACACATCCCTGAAGAGGGAAGCCATTATAAACTAAATAATTCAAAACTCTCAATACTTTGTGTCAATAGTTCGCCATGTTCCATGCCAACATTTTGCTCCTTTGTAGCAGTTTCCCTGCTTCCAATCATTTTGTAAAATTTCCGTTTTAAAAAGTACACTGTTTAGCATCGTAAAGAGAATTTGTTATTTTAAATTGTTAATATCAATCGTAGAAGGTGGTTTTGGTTTTAGCGTGAGATCAAAGTACTGTACATGTTAACTACAATTTTAAAATCCAACATATTTTGATAGGTAATTAAAGAAGAAATTATGAAAGAGCGTTGATTATTTTTATCTCAGTATTCTTAAGTATTAAAATTCTTTGTCCGATAATTAGTTGAGATCGAAACGAAATAGAACACTGAACTATTCTTATTAGCTAGATCAAGGTTAATTGAAATTCTTGGATCAAGTACGGAATACAGAGGTAAAACGTATTATATAAACATAGCGTTTCTTTAACATTTAGTTGTAGTACCATATCATTATCGAACGACTTATCGAACTATTTTACGTAGCCCTTCAACATTATTATTGGAGTTCTTATAAATATTTAAAAGATTTTAGTCGTACTTATTGAACAGGTGAATGAAAATATCAAATCACTAAAATCCACCGGAAAATTGCCTGCCAAGAGCAAATGTTGACAAAAAATTACTCCGGTTACAGAAAACGAGCTTCGGAAACGTGAAGTCTTGCAATTTGACGAGAAATCCCGGTAAAGTTAATTCAATTCTCAATTGATCCTCGGAAAGTTTATTTTTAACGAATGTTTTTAGTAATTGTGATTTGTGTTAATTTGTAAAGATATGTAGAGAGAATGCGTTTATTCATATCACCAACTATTCACGATTAATAAACTATAGAAATTTAAGCAAGTCTAGAGTGATTGAAAGAAATATTTGTGTGTAGGAAGTGAATATATTTTAGCGTATAGTGTATATAATATAAACGGGTTGTAGCTTAAGTTTGAATATCGTCTTAGAGTAAAATGTATCCTTGTTTGGTAAAGTATGGCTTAATTTGATTTGTAAAAGAATGACTTTTCAGACCTGTAATTTTGTATAGGAGTACAATCGTTTATTGTACTTATAGGTGAGTAGGTTGAGGGATTAGAGCCCGAACTTCTGTATCGGAGATGCAAGGTCCTAATCCCGCCAATCACTAAACGTTTTTAGCGTTGTATGATGCTAACACAAACAAATTTCTACTGGTTTTACCAGTAGTTCGGGTTCAACCTAAAGCTATAGTGCCACCTAAAAATAAATTTTAAAACGTATGGGTTCCACAGGCAAGAATTGCTGACTCTGCATTGCTAACAAACTTCCACTACAAGTCAATTATACCTTGAAATACCTTGAAATTTGCATAGTAATATCCAACTGCCTTTAAATGTAAAATAGAGACACATCTGTGTATATATGACATAACTCCTTTCAAACCTTAAATTAGTTTTAAGTTTAAGTAACTTTTCTTGTATTTTACGTGTAGTTTAACCAAAGATAAGTATGCAAGATCTTGAATCAGAAAATATTTGAAAAGAATACACTGTTTTTAAAATTTGTTCTACTGTTTGGAAATTTTGTACTGTATTTTCAAAGTTAGGATAGGATAGTAATTGTCACATATTTGTTACGTTTACAAAAAATCCATGGAATGTAAAATGTGCTGTGCAATCTTCTTTATGTGCTGTTAGTTTCTTACAGTATAAGAATTAAGTCTAGCCTATTATTTTTTAACTTATAACTGTGTGCAATAATAAAGCCAAATTGATTTATAGTTTAAGCTATTGGTAGTGTAAGATACTGTATATAGGTTAAGCTTCTGAATCTTGTTGTTTTATATTTCTTATTTAATATTGTTGATTTTAATACATTGTTTGAAAAGCTTTGTGATTTATTCCGCAAGGATACAGACCCGATAATTTTACTTTGGACATTTTACAACGTCAAAACCTATAAGTATTCAGTGTAATACAGAATGAATCAACATCCAATACTTCATAAAATTGTACATATTTAAGCTTTGTGATTTATTCCGCAAGGATACAGACCCGATAATTTTACTTTGGACATTTTAAAACGTCAAAACCTATAAGTATTCAGTGTAATACAGAATGAATCAACATCCAATACTTCATAAAATTTTACATATTTAAATGAAATAAAATATGAAAATTATTTATTTACAAACTTGCAAAGTTAGGGCCACATGAATCTTGCTTGCACTTGACCTGTAGGAACCTATGTACGTTGGGACACAGTATTAAAAATAATCACCTAGTATTTACTTATTGTATTAATTGCTATTACCTAGCTTGGTAATTTTATAACGAAAAGACCTAAATTGGTGAAATAAAACCCTTAGGTTAGGTTAGGTTAGGTAGATTTTGTTATATAAACTAATTAAAATCTTGAAAGTGTTGGATTAAGTAGTATCGGTGTAAGAAAGTACACTTAGCAATATTATTTGCCCTCAGTAGCTAAATCCTGGGCTTTTTAATGATTGTGCTCAAATACCACTAATCCCCAAAAGCTACTTACGTGAAACCCCAATATCCAATTGTATACTGTAATGTATAATTTTATAAGCTGCTTGTGAATGTAACCAGAAACCAAAAAGAAGATTTTTTTTAGAAAGCAGTTATTCTATTTAAGTAACAGAAATTCATTCTGTGTAGAAAAACTTAGTAAAATAATTAATTAACATTGACACAATAATACCCAAAATTTTCTATTGTTTCCTCAACTGTTGAACTAAAGACATTACATTGATATATTTCCATCGCACTGTTAAATTGTCATTGATGTTAATAACTGTGACTAGATAAAAAAAAAAACTGTTGTTATTGTGCATTACAAATATTTCTTCCTTCAAGATTGATAATATAATTGATATTAAAAGCTGCCAATTATACTGCCTATTGGGTCTGATGATGATTGGAGCGTCCAATTGAAATCGATCACCACTTACCATTTCTTATATGTATTTACCGTCTTGTGAGTAAACAGTATAAGTATAAATATATTTATAACAAGTGTTATTTGACGTATTTTAGTAATTTTAGGAAATTATATTGCAATATGAGCACGCCGTCCCTAGATTATCCTATTGGGATATACATGATATCCAAGGGAATTTCCAGACGTAGCCCAAATACTTGCAAGATATCCTACGGATACTTTTTTGTCTTTTCCTGACGACCTAAAACTGGTAGGAATGGAAGGTAATACATAAAAATAAAATTACTTGATGATGACAATACTTTATACTGAGATCGTTTACTGCGCAATCTAGACTATATCCAGAATGTGCACTGTGCAGCCAGGCTCACCATCCTGGGACGTCAGATATTACATAGCTTAATTAGGCCGGACACTAATTAGTATCTGCCTGGGTAAACTTTGATAGTCCATCTGCCCGTGCACTACTGTACCCAGCGTACGCAATTGTACAGCATTGAACTTTTGTACAGCTGCATTAATCTGAATTGATATTTTTTTTGCAAAACATTAATTTCTTTTCGTAGAAAAAGCAGGAGCAAAAAATAAAATTTTGGATAGAATATGGACGTTTTTTTATGGGAGAAAGTTTTTGTCAGATTGCTGATACCGTTTATTTTTTTCCGCTCATAAAAAAAATTAAAACTAATCTACTACATTTCAAACGGCAAGATTTCAAGTTTTCTCTAAACTCAAAAGACGTTTTTAAATGAACGTTCGACCTAGATGTAATGTAGAAATATGCGCTCTTTATACGCTATACTGAATTTAATGTAACAGTTCCCAATTATATTCATTTATGAATTACTGTAACGTGCAGTCTTCCCATAAATAAATGAAGTTGGGAAACCATCCTACAGTTCCCGTGGATTATTTAAGCTACAACTATATACCACTCTGAATACCAAGCAGATTATGCAGTTCTACAGTTTTTCATTTGAAGTCAAACGGGAAAGTTTAAGCTCAACAAAGAATAAAACTTACATCAGGTTAAAGAATGAAACTTTCCCCAAGTTACCTGCAAAGTTTCTTAACATACTGCACACGTCTTGGCACTTATAACTTTGTAACACCTATGTCAAGGCGATGTAAAGTAATTGTATAAGTATAGTATATCATGATCAGTTAAGCTTAGTCGTTAAAGACTTGATAATCTCTTCAGCAGTAGGTGTAGAAAGCAGTATTAACTCAAATTTCTAAGTAAAACTAGCATTTCTTGTGACACGTATCTGCAAATTTTCGATTAGGGTTTTAATTCTCTATGGAACAATCCATAAAGTTCTATAAATGAGTTTCCCAGTTTCAGTGGTAGATATTTTTTCACTATTTTAAGCTTTTTTCGTGATTTCACAAACATGTATATTTGTACTGTAGCGCCTGGTGAGACTTTTCAGTTTTTAGCTAATTCCCCATATAGGTCCCATGGTAGGACCTGGACGCAGGGCAGATTTACTTTTTCGTTTTGATGTCCCCAAAGGTCAAAAACCCCATCCGTCCAAATTCATGTATACCATGTGTCCGTTAGCGCGATAACTTGAGCAAACATGATCCGATTTTGATGGAATTTGGTACAAACGTGTATATCTACTTTTACTCGAACGAGTTCGCGAACCAGCATAATTACACTATGGGAACGGGGTTTTACGGGGGCTTTTATGGTGGTAAAAATGGGTTTTCTCAGT